ATTTGTGTTTTTATTGTGTGCGTTTTTGCGCAATTTTTGTTTAAAAATGCGCCCGACTTTTGTCTAGTGAGTGTATGTATGTTAAAATTCTAGTTGATCTATTTGTTTATTTATTCATTAAAAAATAGGAAGTGTTTAAAGGTGAAATGAAATAAAATACACCAAGGTGTTTAATATTATTTATTTAATGTTTCAAGGTTTTTTTCATATGATGGATTTGCTCGTCCATTTTTCCAATGGTAATTTTTATGGAATCTAAACTTTTATATTGTCCATTTCTTATTCCTATAAGAGATTGTGGAACTTCTTTTAAATTATCCTTCTTGGCAGCAATTGGTGCTTCTTTATCGAAAGCAGCGAATAATTTCTTATAACTGTCAGTGATCGCTTTCAATTGTGCTACTCTTGCTGCAAATTGACCCTCGTATCTCATACCGAATGTTTCGATGTTTCTACCAGGTTTTCTTTTAGAGATGTCACTAGGTAATGCTTGAGTCATAACGACAATAAATACCAAAAAAACGGATAGGATTGTTACGAATTTCATGATTGTAGAAAAGATTGTTTAAAATTTTTTTGAAAGATGTTGTAATGTTTTTTCAAAAAAATTTGTAAGGAAATTATTGTATTATGATTGTAATAAAGTGAATTTAATGATAGGTGTTAAAACACCTAATGCGGACATTTTTATACATGTGTTATGTATGGATGGATTTATCATTGTGATATACATGATACTCATATTTAATAAATAAAAATGATATACTGTGAAAATTGTTTTCATAATAAAATCTTCCCATTTGTCACGGGATAGCACACTTGAAGCGACACTTTATACAAGCATATTAATATGATTTTGATGTATAAAAATGTTGATCCATACATATATATTAATAAAATGTATGGCTTAAACCAATCAAATGATCACATATACATACGATATTGGCCAGGTCAATAAACTAACTTGGTGGGCATTTGATCTTGGAAAAAATAATGAGTTCTTGTGCTATTTTGTTAGCCTATCTATATAATAAAACACAGTGGTGTTTCACAAGGAGATAAACCGGCATTTCGATTGGTTAAGAGCTGGAGATAAAG